TCAGTTGGGTTCCGCCAGAACCGCTTTGTCACACCTTCTCTGCCCCCCCATTATGCAGAGCCCCCCACCACTTCCCTGCCCCTCCCCTCTGGCACAGAGCCCCCAGCGCCCCTTACCCAGGCTGCTCGCCGTCACCTCCCACTGGAAGGTTTTCCCTTCGTCTGCACAGAGGCAGCTGGTGTAGGTGCCATCTTCGCCTGCCTGCACCTGGAACTGCGCAGACTCCGCCAGCGTCACTCGCACCTGTGGGGCCCAACACGAGAGCTCCCTTAGGGCTGTGGGGGACGCGCTCACACGCGCAGCTCCAGCCGAGACGTGACACCTCTGGGGCTCAGGCCCCCTCACCGCGATGTGCTGACGCCAGTGGTCACAGGATCACAGTCAGTGACTGCCGGTGCCGCTCGCCGGCCTGCGCCGCTGCCCAGCTCCCCAGCCCCAGGTCACCGGCCCCAGCAGCTCAGCCCCGGGCGGCGCTCACCTTGATGCAATGCCGCAGGTAGTTGAAGACGGTGGCCTTTAGGGCAAAGGCCTCTCCCCGGATCACGGAGTACGGCAAGACCAGCTCCACAAAGAAGGGTTTGAAGGCCGTGAAGGTGGCCGTCGGTGAGAGCCCAAAGCCCACCTCGGCCGTGCAGAACATCCCAGCTTTCCACTCCGTGATGGTGTCGGGCACCGAGACTGGGACGTCCTTGGAGCCCCCCTCGCTGGGTCGGGATGGACACAAACAGAGCGTCAGACATGCGGCCGCCCCGTGGGAAGTGCTCACAAGCATGGCCACCAGAGACGTCCCTGCCCGACCCTCCGCTGGGCTGGGGCCCTGGGCCGGTGGCACAGAAACAGGCCAATCCCAGAGAGCAGAGAGGGGAAGAGCTGTCAGTGCCCCCCTCTCATCCCCTTCTCCGCCCCACGCCTGCTAGCGCAGGATCCTTCCCTGCCCCGGGACTCTCCGGGCTGGGCTCAATGTTCCACGGGATGGGGATCCCCCCTTCCGCAGCCAGACACGTCTCCCTGTCAGGGGGCTATTCCTGGGGCCAACCTCAATTCCCCCTGCTTGGGATCCCCTACCCCTTCCACTTGTACCCCATGTGCCACCCTCCATGGCCCCCTCCCGGGGGTTCAAACCCCTCCCATGTTCTCAGCGTCGGAGCTCCCGGGCACCGCGTGGGAATGAAAACACCACAAAGGGCAATGGGGTCGGATGATAAACCCCCTGCCGACCCGACGGGATCCAGGGAATGGCTGGGGAGGGGCTGGCATGAACCCTGCTCTGCGGGTGAGACGCAGGGTCATGGTGCTGCCCGGGCTCCCAGCCCTCTCCCCCGCTCTGCGGGTTCGTTACATCTGTAAAGAGACGAATCCCATGGCCCTGGGGGCTTGTTATTCCCCATTGCTGTGCTGGGTTCCTCTCCGCTGGCAACAGGGTGCAGGAACCAGCCCCGCACGGGCAGCCAGCCCTCCCCCACCACTGCGCTGCCTCTGGGAGCTGCTGCTTTCGAGGGTCTGGCCTGGAGGCCGCTCTGCAGGGACGGTCTGTGACAGCTCCTCACTCACCCCACAGGCACCAGGTCCCACAGCCACGTCTCTGTGAAGTACGCACGTGGTGCTGGCGCCTCCTGGGTGCAGGCTTCTGGCACGGGCCGGGCATTGCTCACTGGGCTCCCTGCTGCACTAGCCACACTTGCTGCCCCAGGGATCATGCCAAGAAAAGATACAAAGGGGGGTTCAGGGAGCCCCACCCTGATTTGGGGGCAAATCCAGACAATGATTCACGTGTGTTTGCACCTGCAAAGTCTTGATATTTGGGGACATTTCGGGGGCTGCACGTGGCCCCCGGGAGCTCTGAGAACTGACCCCTGCTGGCAGGGCTGGGGCTGGAGGGGGTGGGGCTGGGGTATCCTACGTGCAGCACACACTGGTGGACTCAGCACATGGGCAGGAGCCAGGGAGTCCTGAGCTCAGTCCCAGCTCTGCCCTGAGCAGCGTTAAGAGTACGTTGCACTCCCAGAGCCCTTCACAAAGAGCCGCTAGCCAGGCAGGTCAAATCATTAGCCCCACTGAGCAGCTGGGACATGGAGGCCCAGAGAGGCTCAGTGCGTTTCTACCGCAACCACCGAATATGAGCGGGCATTGCAGGACCTCATGTGATCGCCTCCATAACACCGAGCTTGACTCTCAGATCCCAGGGCAGCGCATGGTGTCACGGAGTGTGGGGGGACACAAGGCCCGGCACCCCCGGCTTCCTGCGATTCACCATGACTCTCAGCCAACCAGTAAAGCAGAAGGTTTATTTAGACGACAGGAACACAGTCCAAGACAGGTCTTGCAGGTACATACAACAGGACCCCCTCAGTTAGGTCCATCTTGGAGTCCCAGGGACACCACAGGCCCATTGGGGTGGGGCAGAGCCCCGTCTGGGCTCCCTCCATTACCAGCCAGCTCCTGAAAACTCTCTCTCCCCCAGCGTCTCCTTCCCCACCTTTGTTCAGTTTCCCGGGCAAAGGTGTCACCTGGCCTCTAACCCCTTCCTGGGTTTTCACGTTACATGCTCAGGTATCCTCCCTCAAGGCCAGTCTCCCATCCCCCCATGCAGACCGTCCCAGCCACACTCCCCTGTCTTTCCAGGCCAACACTCCCCACTCAGCATTCAAAGGCCACATTAAGAACAGTCCCAGTTCGTCACACATGGGGCTGGAGCTAGAAAAGCCATTGGTCTCCGTGTGAAGCGAGTGTATCTGGGCTGGAGTCACTGAGAGACAGGCAAGGAGCCGGGTGATGCCACAGTCACCACCACTTGGCACAGTGTGATTAGCATGTGTATTGGAGTGGTGCCCGCAGGAGGTCGGGTACTGTCCCTCCACAGGCAGCTCCAGGCCCTGCCTCAAAGAGCCTCCAGCCGAAGGGGGAGGAGCAGAGCTGAATTGGAAGGGTCAGATGATCACGTGTGCCCAGCTCCCACTGAGAACACTGGAGAATCCCCACCCAGGATCAGAACCCAGGTCCCAGGCCCGATCTACGAGCCCACAGGGCCGTCTCCGCTCAGACGGCAGAGAGGGCATTTGGAATTGCTGATCAAGAGGGTTGGAAGTGCCCAGTCCACTGACCTAGTGAAGACAATGCGGGGCCACGCCAGACAGGCAAGGCTAGGACAGCATGACGTATTAAAAGGTCTCCATGTTCACAGGGCTTCTTGGTGTTGGTGTTGGTGAGAATTTTCAAAGCCGCATCCTGGGTGAGAAGGAAGACAGAGGAAAAAGCATCAGGAGCTGCTAAAACAGGGGACTGTGGCATCATACTTTCGCGTTTCTCCTCCCCCACCTACGCTGGAAGCAACAAGAACACTGGGAGGACAAAGACTTCAACTGAGGAGACTGGTCCCAGGCTTAAAAGGGGAAGCCTGTGTGTTAAGAACTGTAACCTCTAGTGGGGTTTGAAAACTGCTTGATTCAAATACTGCGCAACCCACAGCCTCTGAAACCTGCCCCGGGTGGGGCCTAAACTCACAGCCCGTGGGCACCCCGGCAATTCACGGGCCACAGCACGTCCCCTGGCGCCCCTCGGTCACTGTGACACCAGACTGCCTGCAAACCCGCTGGCTCCACAGAGCCCCAGCCTGGCTGCACATGCACCTCCCATTCTCTGGGGCCTCCGTTCAGGTCGCCCCCCCTCCCCAGGTTCTGAACGTTCCCCTCAGTAACATTGGGAATATTGCTCCCCAGAGCGGCGGGGGGGGGGGGGGAGGGGGCGACAAGCTGGGGTAAATCCTAAACACCTGAGATCAGTTCAGAAGAATCAGAGCCTGAGCTGGAGCCCCAAGTGCGGGCAAACAGCATGATGAGAACCGGGGGGTCGTGTAAACCCGTTTTATGAGGGGGGCTGTATCTTGGCCCCCCCCACTCAAATGACCCCACATGTGGCCCACTAGCCCCACCCTGCACTGCCATGAGGCACAGCACATCTCAGGCCAGGCTGTGGATGTCAGAGCACTCAGACACTCCTCTTTAAACAGCCAGCGACACTCAACCTCCGCTCGAGCAGAGCTGCCGCCCCCCTGCAATGTGCAGCACCCGCCCATGGGGCCGGCCGCGCTCCCCGAGCTCCCCCTGTCTGGTCCCCTGGTGCCCAGAACCCAACGCCCCCGCCCGCCTGGGGAACAGTTCTGGGGAGTGACTTGGCCAGTGGGCAGCCCCTAGATGCCGCGGTGTGCGCGGTGCTGGGTGCCATGGGCAGCACGCTCACTGTATGGGCGCTGGCAGGGGGAGGGCGGGTCCCAGCCCATTCCACTATGGCCATCTGACTGGGCTCCCAGGCCCTGGGGAGGCTGCCATCACTCAGAGCAGCCCCCAGCTGCGACAGAGCCCTGGTCTCCTGACTCCCAGCCCCCTGAGGGCTTTGGGAGGACATCGTCCATCCCTCCCTCTGGCAGGGCAAGATGCCATCCCCCAACTCCCTCCTTGTCCCCTCCGCACCCATCCCCCCACCCCCTCCTTGCTCCCTCTGCACATCTCACTCAGGTGGCTTCCTCCTCCTCCAGGCTGCCTGGGACCGGCAGGGGAGCACTGGGAGCACGAGAGGCACCGTCTCCGCGAGCTCCGTTCCCACACCCGGTGCCACCGCAGGTCCTGCTGGTCGGAGGAGCCATTTCAGGAAAATCCTGCTCTGCCCCTGTGGCCCCGGGCTGGAGCAGGCTCAGTTGCTCTGTGGCGAAGGCGCGCGCAGGCCAGTCGAAGGGATGGAGCAGGCGTGGTGCAGAAGGATTCCTCGCAGAATAATGCTGCCAAACTCCAAGCCTCTGCTGGGCATGTGGGACCTGCCATTCCCAGGGGCTTCCCATTCAGCCAGCTGGAGGCTGCATGTCATGGGAAAGACAAAGGGCACCTCCCTGACCCCAGGGCGACCTCCTGGCCTAGGGTCAAGTCTCTGCTCCGAGGCAGGGAGCTTCTCAATTAAACAGCTTCATTTTATCATGGGAAAACCGAGTATTTTCCCCACCTCCCCTTCTGAGCAACTGCTGAGCTGTGTTAGCTGAAACGCCTCAGAAAGTTCAGCCTGAGGCCGACCCCTGGCAGGAGAAATTTCAGCCCCAACCATTTCAGTCTGACAAAGTTACAAGAACTGAAAACTTCTAATGGGAAGTGCCAGAGAACCATAACTGGAGGTGGCGCTGCCAGCCCCACATGTAATATCCCTGTGCCCAGGAGTGGGGCGGGATGGGGCGTTCCTGCTCCCTGGATACGCCGGGGATCTGTCCCAGGGCCTGGGCCGTGTCTGAAGGTGGCTGGGGAGGTGTATCCCAGGCCTGAGTTTGCTAGGAGCATCCCTGGGGATTCATTGGAACAGGCCGAACCATTTGGTGGGATTCACCCCTGGATGCCAGCAGCTCTGGGCACATCGGAGCCAGTTTAGTCCTTTCAGGCTACAGAGGAGTGTGAGGCCTGGCCAGGCCCAACCCTACCTTAAACAGGCTGTAGGTGTCAGTCTGAGGGGGAGTCCAGCTCCTAAGCCCTCTGCGACACCTGTACCTGGGACCTAAGGCGCGGCAGTGATGAGTTATAACCCGGGGCGGTTCATAACATGACTCAGGCTCTCGCACTGCTTCGGGATAGTCTCCTCTGGGAAAATTGGGGAGCAGTTTATAGACCTAAAGACAAACACAGACAACATCAGCCATAAAACCAAGACACGAGCTACCCCAGAGCCAGCTCCTGCCCCTCCTCCCACTAACACATCACCCCACAAACCTCCGCTCTTGCCCCAGCCTCATCTCTAGCCTGGACACCTGCCCCCACCCTGCCCAGCACCCAGCCCCATCCCCCACGTGGGCGTCTGTCCTTGCACCTACCCCCACAGCCCTAGGAGAGGGACCCGCAGCTCCCAATGCCCTGGGAGAACCTGGGGGGGGGGGAAGGGCAAGTGCCCCTTCTCGCCTTGGGGCAGCGAATGGCTCTTAGCGCCCCTCCCCCACTCTGTCCGGATCAGAGAGGGGTCGCATCGGGGGCTGGCCCTGGGACCATGGCTCACAGGGACACGTGACTCAGCCCCTGGCCCATCGAGTCCCATCTCCTGCTGCCCCACGGGCCTTGGGAGGCTCCACTCGCCGTGTGCAGAGCCCTTGAGCCCCTGGATGGCAGGCTCCAGCGACGGGCCGAGTACAATTCCATATCCACTCGGGCAGGGACAACTCCCACAATGCACCTGGCCAGATGTCCCCTGCTGTACATGGAAGCAGGGAAATCTCCTGCCCCTGCCCCCGGGGACCAGCTCTGCCCTGGAGAGTGAGCTCCGGTTACCCCGGCCAATATCTCAGCTCTGAGCTCCATGTTCCCAGCCAGAGCTGGGGGGAGGGGGTATCTGGAGGGGGGCACTGCAAGGGCTGATGGGAGAACAGGCAAAGCAGATGGGCCCCCCCAGAGTTAGGGGCTGTCAAGTGCCATAGGAGCAAACCTCAGACTGGGAGAGGTGGCCTCGAGGGGTGTCCCCCAGTGGCCGTGCATTGCCCCTCCCTGCGAGGGGGGAGGACTCGTCGGGGGAGGGCCGGGCGACCGGCTCTGGACTCACCATGTCGACACTGAGCTCGGCCTCGGGCTTCATGAGCAGCACGCTCTGATCCACGGCGCGGACGGCACACAGGGACCCGGGGGCAGCCTGCACCCGCAGCTGGAGCTCTGAGCCTGGCAGGGCCCGGTCCTGCGAGAAGGCCAGCTTCACCTGGCGAGGCACAGCGCGTCACAGGGGAGGGGGAGAGAGACCCCCAGGGGCAGGAGGAGACAGGCCCGGGCAGGGGCGGGGGCAGGCACCGAGTGTCACTCTGGCCCCAGGCCCCGCTGGCTGAAGGGCTGGGGCTTTGGGAGTCGGTGCTGGGGGTGGGGGGTTGAGGCAGCCCAGGCTCATTCAGCGCCCCCATGGGACAGCTCAGGGAGCTGCAGTTATTCATAGACACCCGGGGGTGTGGGGATAGGAGGTGCAGGGAGGTAGGGATACGACAGGATCGCCAGCCCCACCAGATAAAACTCATGAGTCAGACCCCCGAAAAGTCCTGAGATTCTTGACGAGGACAAACCCCTGGGCTGCAGCCTGTCCTCTGGCTTCTCTGCTCTCGCCCCCGCGCCCAGTGTGTCTGGACACACACAGCACTGCCCGGGGCGTGGGGGGGTCGGCTGAAGGCTGAGCGATGAGGCCAATACCAAGCAGTGGGGGAGGTTTAGGTTGGATATTAGGAAAAACTTTTTCACAAGGAGGGTGGTGAAGCACTGGAATGGGTTACCTAGGGAGGTGGTGGAATCTCCTTCCTTAGAGGTTTTTAAGGCCCGGCTTGACAAAGCCCTGGCTGGGATGATTTAGTTGGGGATTGGTCCTGCTTTGAGAAGGGGATTGGACTAGAACCTCCTGAGGTCCCTTCCAACCCTGATCTTCTCTGATTCTAAGCAGATGTGGGGGGGAGGGGGGAGGGAGCAGCCGCCATTGCTGAGGCGGGCATTGAAATGCCCCCGGGGATTGCGGGGAGCAGTGCACAGCCTCCCCGTCACCGCGTGCTGGGGGGGGGGGCAGAAGGGCCACACTTATCCCCAGGGCAGTGGGGTGAAGTGGGAGGGGGCAGAAGGACTCAGCCAGACCCCCACAAGATGTAGGGGAGAGGAGGAATTCTGTATCTTTACCTCCCTACTCCCAGAGGGTAGGGGCCTTCCTCCCAACTGACCCCTATGTGCAGTGGGGAGGGGGCTGATGGCTGGTCCCTGGCAAAAGCTTTTTCTCAATGACAGGGACGTGCCCCTACTGGCTGCCCAGAGAGGGGATCCCCAGCCTTCATAGGGGGAGTTTCTACTGCTCATCTGGCTAAGGGTGGGAGCCAGCTGCCAGCCCAGAGGATGAGAGGGGCCCTTTTTTCCATGACATTTATGCCCCAGTCGACTGGAGGGGCAGCGGCCCCCTTAGAAGCCCTGTAAAGAAATATGGCCAGCTGGCCACCCCTGCAAGCCTCCAGAGAGGAAGGGGGATCAGACCATCATATCCTGCCCCCCGCCCCAGGACTCTCCCAGGGTGAGCAGGGGCAGGCACGGGTTGGAGGATTGGCAGTGGGTAGGATTGAGGTGGCAGAAGTTCTGGGGGGTTGGAGGAGCAAGTGGCTGCAGAGACTGGGGAGTGGGGAGGGCTCAGGGCAGCAGGTACCTGCCAGGGAGCCCAGAGTGGGCCGGGGAGGGGCCGGGTCCAGGCCAGTGGGATGGGAGGGACAGAAGCAGGAGCTCTGGGGAGCTGCGGACAGGGAGGTGAGGGGTGGGACAGGCAGGCAGCAGGTATCTGCTGGGCCCGGAGTGAGAGGCTGAGTCCGCGGGGGAAGCAGGGTGGGCTGGGGGAGGCAGGAAGGGTTTGGGGGAGCAGGTACTTGCTGGGGTCAGGGAGAACGGAATGGGAGGGGGGGAGGGCAGGCACCTGCTCCTACATTGTGCGGGGGCCGGAGCTCTTCCCGTCACCGCGGGAACGCCTGCAGGCGCGGGCGAAATGGCTAGTGATCAATTCACCAGAGCTGGCACTAACGCAACGACCCTGGCGCTGCTGTAAGGCCGGGGAAGGGAGGGGCTGAGGACACCCAGCGATGCCTCTGCTCAGGGCTCCTGTTATGGGGCAGGGAGCGATTCCCCCACCCCAGAGGCTCCTCCACCCCGAGCCCCTCACCTTGTTCGGGAAGCACTTGGCCATTTGCAGCCGGGCGCTGTCGGCAGCCATCTCACCATCGGGCAGCACCGTGTAACCCAGCACCGTGGCAGCAGGTGCCAGGTCAGCGCCGACGGGCAGCTCCACAGAGAAGGAGCCCGTCAGCCCTAGGGACGGTGGGAAACACCCAGGGGAAGTCAGTCCCAGCCAGCAGAGCCCCCTCCCCCAGCCCGGCCCCTGCTTTGGGGCTCAAACCCCAGTAGCCCCCTGGGTGCCCCCCATCTGCACAGACCCCTCTCCCGCCACTTACCAGCCCCCTCCCTGAGGTCCAGCCCCTTGTGGAGGATCCTGGCGATGGTTCCCTTGGCTACGACCTGCCGAGGAGGAGACGGGGGTCACTGAGCTGTGTGACGCTGTGTGGAATCTGGGAGACACTTTATGGTATTGTTGATACCAACATTAGAAAATTGCAGGGAATCTGACCAGATATGCCATGGAAGGTGTCTGTGAAAATGGTGCGATTTGCCAAGTATGAGGATCTTGTTTATATGTTTGTATCACCTTTGTATTGTGTTCTAGGTCTGTGTGGTACATCTGTATTTCAAAACTCAGGCTGTGGTTCTGGGTGACACCCCCAGACAGATTGGCATCAGCACTGCCGAGCCTGTTTGATGGCCCATCACGGGTCATCAGCCCGACAGTGAACCCATTGAAAGGAACTAGGGGATACATCTTAGGAGCCAGCAAGGCATGTAGGGGCAGGCTGGTGGACAGAGAACTCTAAGGCTTTTCCATATCATGTGCTGTGCAGCTTGTGTTTGGGACAAAGGAAGTACCAGCCACATGGCAAAAGGAATATAAAGGGCAGCTGCATCTTCTCCATTTTGTCTCCAGTCCTGCTTCTTACCTCTGGAGTAACTTTTCTACAAATGAAGCTCTGAACAAAGGACTGAATGACCCATCCAAGCTGAGGATCTGTTCCAGAGGGACTTTCAAGCCGGCAAACTCACCAATACTGCTCAGAACCTGATATATGGACTTTGAAATCTCTGTTTGTATGTGATTGTTTTACCATTTAACAACTCTCTTCTTGTTCTTTCTTTTTTCCTTATAATACACCTTTTGTGTCAGACACTAAAGGACTGGCTGGCAGCGTGGTATTTTGGGTAAGATCCAAACTAATATTGGCCTGGTGATGTGGGTGACCCTTTGGGGTCAGAAGAATATTTTGTATAGTGAGCAGAGGTTTTAAATGACTTCTCACTGTACTAGACCTAGGTGCTGATTGGAAGCCAGAGAACTGGAATGCAGTAAAGGAGGCTGTGTGATTTCTTTTTTAGCTTCTAGATAACCAGAGTGGGGGGAATCAGGAGCAGTTTGTGACTGGTTTGTGAGACCAACTTCAGTGTGAACGACCAGTTTTGGAAGAATCTGCTCTTCTTTTTGTAGTCTGTCCTGACCTTGGCATTTCTAGTGACGGCTGCCCCAGGCACACTGGGTCACAAACTGATGCTATATGGGGGCTAACAAAAACCCCGACATGGGGGGGGGCCATGCAGGCTGGAGTCAGGGCAGGGTGAGGCCGCTCCACCCCATGGACTGAGCCAGCAGAGGTGGGGGTGCAAGAAAGAGCATTCAAGCATGTATCCCATTCCCCAGCCCCCGCAGGCCAGCCAGCCCCCGCTTTGGGGCTAGATTGGAACCAGAGCCCCTAGTGGGGAAAAGGGAAAAGCCCCGTCCTGATCTAGCCCCGCCCTTGTAATTCAAAGGAACCCTTCAATTCCCTTCCTGCTCTCTCATTCTCTCTCTCTCTCTCTCTCTCTCTCTCACACACACACACACACACACACACACACACACACACACACGTACACTCCCCGGACACGCTCCCCAGGGAGATGAAATCCACGCTCCTGGCCCTT